TTGTGATTTTTTTTTTTTTTTTTTTCTCCCCCCCCCCCCCCCTGCTATTTAGCTACAGAACTACTAAAAATAGTGACCAACTATCCACTATCGGACTTAATTTTATGTCTGTAAGGCTGAGAAAGCTATCTTTCTCACAAGAGAGATGTGAAGAGGGAAAAATTCACTTGAGGGAAGGAAAGAAATCCTTGAGAATAACAATTTGGAGGAAAGATACTGTGATGTTATAATATCCCTTTTGGGGCTGCTTTGTGGATTTTGAGGCCAATTTAGGGCATGACCAGTCAGTCTTAGATCTGAAGAAGCAGAATTGCTTTGCTACAGCAATTTGTCTGTGTTAAGGGTTATATTATGAAAGCTAGGTTTATATTTTGCTTTTTGAATCAGATGGTAAGAAGTGTTCAAAATATACCTAGTATTTCTGTGTGTAAATTGGCACGGTGACAGAATTTGAAAGAATAAGGCCCTGAGCAGCTTGATCTAACTAGACCTACTTTGAGCAGGAGGTGGGAGTAGCTGACCTCTAGAGGTTCCTTCCAAACTATGTGGTTCTATAATAAATTCTATGTGTTAATTTGAGATGGGGAGAGAAATTGCTCTAGAGAATAAGATTATTATTTTTAAGGTTCTGTGTATTTTAAGTGTCTTGCAGGCACAAAGTTGACAAGTGCACTGGTATTTAACTTGAATTATAGTACTTAGTATGTGGGTGTGAAGGACAGAGAAGTGACTTAGAATGATCCAGAACAGTCACAGTAAGATGTCTCTTAATGGCTTGTTCTTTGCTAACTAAGTTACTGCAAATGTGCTTATTCAGCCTCCTGCAAAAGAATATCTTTTTAGTAGTATCAGAAATGCTTTGTGTTAATCAACCCTAAAGTAACCTGAAGTTTCTCTCTGTGTTGCAGGATGGAATGCAATATATATGATTCATAAACCTTCTTAAAACTTTGAGGTTCCTTGTAAATTAGCTTCATCTGTGTCTTTGGCAACACAGATAATGCTGCTTACTCCTGGGAAATGAAGCAGCTGCTGCTAACTATGGTCTCTCTTACAGATGGATATTGATTTCTGTGAACCTAACCCTTGCCAGAATGGGGCTAAATGCTATGATCTGGGAGGAGATTATTACTGTGCCTGCCCTGATGACTATGATGGAAAGAATTGTTCTCATCTCAAGGACCACTGCAAGAACAATTCTTGTAAAGGTACCTGCTGTGGTCCAGAAACTTGTCTTGATGTATTGGTGGTACATTAAAAAAGAAAAGTAGTATTTTGGAAACGGCATAATGCAGAAACATTTTTATTGTGCTCACTTGGACTTTGTGAAATAGTGAGGAAGTGAGAAGAAATGCTTGTAACAGTCTTTATTTGTAAAGAGATAGAGGGTAACTTATAGTTAACATAACTTTTAAATTGTGATTAGTCTTAATCGTTGCATAACTTTTTTTAAGACTAAAAACTGATTGGTGATGCAGATTATTAGTCTGATGATACACTTCTCATTCTTAGTAATAGACAGCTGTACAATAGAAGTCTTCAGTAATGCTACCCAAGAAGGAGTCCGTTTCATTTCGTCTAATGTTTGTGGGCCTCATGGACGGTGTATTAGTCAGCCAGGAGGAAATTTTACCTGTGCCTGTGAAAGAGGTTTTACTGGAACATACTGTCATGAAAGTAAGTAGCAGTTTCCTCTAAATGATTTTGTTGCTCTAAAACTTCCTTAGAGTTTTTGTAATGAAGCTTTACAACATAAAATAAAACATTAAAATTTTAATAAAGTTGCATGAAGCATTGTTTCAGGTGTACTGCTTGAAATCAAGTTTCTTCTGGTAACAGTTGTCTTTGTAGGGGTTCATGCTTCCACTGTGAAATAAAACTGGTTTTAGTCCAACTCTGATGTGAATGTGTCTGTACCCACTACCTTTATGTACAGTCTTACATGAAAGCCATAGATTGCTCCAACATGGGGACGATAAAGAAGGCACAGACATATTGACAGCACAGCTTAGGAGCATGCATATTGCTGTTCCAGGTATTTTTTTGAACACCTGGCTATTTTTGCCAGGTAAACTTAATGCTCAGGTTCAACTTGCTTACATGAGAGAGAATACATCTAGAAACTGTACCAGGCTTGAAAACAGATGTTTGAGCTGTTTATATATATATATACACACAGGAGTATAACTTTGTGCTGCCTTTGCTAGACACACAAGTGTAGATCGCTCCTCTAGGTAGGTGAAGACAGCCTTGAGCAGTAAGTGTTGACTTTTTGTTATAGATATCAATGATTGTCTTGGGAAGCCTTGCAAGAATGGTGGGACATGCATCGATGAAGTTGATTCTTTTAGATGTTTCTGCTCAAGTGGCTGGGAAGGAGAACTGTGTGACACAAGTGAGTATTGCTAAGTGTTTCAGGGTCAAATACTACAGCTTTGCTCTAACAGTTAGTGATGGTTGGTACATGGTTAATAATAATGGGGTAGTTTCTCTGTTCTATAATTACAGTCTACCCAGTGTTGTTTGCAAAAGTATTTTCAAGAAGATTTTTTGGGTAGTAGCTCTGAAAGGCTCAGTTCCTTTAATAGGACTGTAATCTGATTCTTTGGTATAGTACAGGATATATCTCAGCAGGAGAGAAGAACTTCTTTTTCTCCTGAGGAGAGACAAAAGTGAATATACCCTGTTCGGGAGTCTACTCATTATATTGCTTTTATTGCTATAAGCATATGTACTTAGTACTTACTGTACATAAAAGTTTGTCCCTTACCCAATCTACTCGTATGCAGTAGTTTCCAAATGTGAAAAGCTTTTTAGCTTTAAGCCAGTGCAAGCTATAATGTGCTTCCACCTTACTGAAGGAATTTAGAAATATAATATCTATTCCTTTAGTAAGAAAAGAACTGATGAAGCCTGAACTTTTACTCGATGAATATTATGAGTCAGTGTGTTGTATTTTGGGTTCAGTGGGAGCAGGCCTTTACTCTTGCTGCCCTGGCTTGAGGCAGGCTTGGGCCTTAGTTGACAAAGAGGTGTACAAGGCCGGTTCATGGTTAAGTTACCTCAGAGAAAACTACAGTTAGTTGTTTTTCTACTCTGAATGAAGTCCCTTCTATAAAGTGATGGCAGGGACTTGCTGAGACTTATTACAGGACATGCACCAATTGAGATGTGAAATAAAGACTGAGAAGCTATTGGCAGCTATCACTGTCAAAAAAGCTTTTTGTGTGGTCTAGATGAAGTTCGATCTGGAATAATTATGGTCTACCTATTAAAACATTTTTCTCAAGTGAAAAGAGTTCTCTCTAAAATTCATGTTGTGTATGTATATGTATACACACACATATATATATTTGTGTGTATATATATATGGTTAAGCCATCTAATGGCTTTAATTCTCTGTATTTTGAGACATAAAGCAGGAGAGGGAGCCTTAGCTATCTCATGTGGATGTGCCAGGTTGGGATTCCTTTTCAGGACACTGTGGTCCCTACTAGAAAGTTTTCTCTGAAGTTCAGAATACAGCTGTTTGCTGGAAAAACAGAACTACTTTGGTGCTCTACTTAGAAGCCATACTGAATGATACTTTTTCTCTTAAGCTGTCAGAAAATCTTTCATAATTCATGTTGCTCTGTATTAAATCAGTTTTTTTTTTTTCTCACTTATACAAAGATAACCCCATAACAATGAGGAATGCTGTCTTCCTAAATAGTACACAATTTCCTTTATGAAGAAGTATTTTATATTTTCTCATGGCTGTGGCTAGGCTAGATCATCTAATTTGAGTAACTTTTTTTCTAGATTTCAATGACTGTTCTCCTAACCCATGTCACAACGGTGGCCGATGCATTGATTTGGTAAATGACTTCTATTGTGAGTGTAAGAATGACTGGAAAGGCAAAACTTGCCATTCACGTAAGTGTTCTGTACTTTGATCTTTAGTTTACCCAAAGATTTGTTTTCTTTCTTTGCATGAGACTAGAGTTCCTGAAATTTAAAATAAAACAATTGCAGTGAAATAATAGGCATATTTTCATTACCTCTTCCAGTTTCCCAGCAGCAAAATGGAACATTGGAAAAAAAAGTATTCGTTCATGTAGTGAAAGTGTTGTAAGAGATGCTCTTAGGTTCCACTCCTTTGGTTGCTTACATTAATACAGCAAGTGGAACTATGAGTTTCTAGTACTGTTGCATTTAAACGTGAAGTATCTTTAAAAGTAATTTTGTGATTAAAAATTACCTCATCTTAAAATTCAGCAAGACCAATGGAAATTAATACTGTTTTATTGTGATGTATAGGTGAATACCAATGTGATGCAAATACTTGTAGCAATGGTGGAACATGCTATGATGATGGAGATACATTCCGCTGTTCATGTCCTCCAGAATGGATAGGAAGTACTTGCAACACTGGTAAGCTCTTTAAGTTGTCTACAGCTAAAGCTAGAAGAAGTAGAGAAGTGTTTAAATAATACTGAACTGCTTAGTAAATAGGCATGCTGTTCTTCTAGCTGGCTAGTTCAAAGCTGTTCCAGTTGGCTGGTGACTGAAGTTCAGAGTAATTTCTTCCACTCACCTGACATGATACTGATTTTTAGGAAGCTGTTCTCCACAGGCTGCTTACATGGTCTTTTACATAGCTTCTCCTAAGCAGATTTGGAACACTTGGACTTGTGTCTTGACTTCTCTATTCGTCTTGGAGACCTGTGTAAAGGTTTTCTTGGGAACTTAGTCCCCCACTTTGCTTGAAGGTTCATAATGTGAATAAATTTGTGATCGAGAGGCATGTGAGCAGACATACTCAGGAAAAATGAAATTAAGTAATTCATCCTAGGGGATTTGCAGGGTTACTGCCTGCTGTAGGGAACATTCAATCCCTTGATCTTCTTGGGGATTGAATGTAGTCTTCATGGTGCATTTTTCTGAATATGAAACTTCCATTAGGACCAAGAAATTGGATGAAGGTAATTTAGTACAGTTTTTCTACTTTTTAGGTACAATTGTGGCATTTAATCAAAATCTGAACTTTAAATACTAGTATTTTATTATGAAGTACACCTCATGACCTGGGTAACTCACTGCCAAAGTAGGAATTTAGCAGTATTTGGAGGATGCTTACACAGATGGGGAAAAAATAGATAATCTTTTTTTTTATAAAACTTCATGGTTCAATCAAACAACTGAATTGGGATGATGGTGAAGGTAGGTGATAGATTATCATGCAATGTGACTATTTTTGGACTCCCTTGACCTTCTTGTAAGTCTTGCACTGTTGACTTAAATGCTATTCAGGATTGTGATATTGACATAGCCAGATGATAGATACTTTTTGTTTTCTGTGCTAAATAGAGACCTTTTACTGTTTTCAAAGCTAAAAACAGCAGCTGTATTCCAAACCCTTGCATGAATGGTGGAACGTGTGTTGGCAGTGGAGATTCCTTTTCTTGCATCTGCAAAGAAGGATGGGAAGGACGTACATGCACACAGAGTAAGGCTTTTCTGCTTTCTTCCCCTGCATTCCCCTGGGATAATTAGGAGTGTCTGGCACAGAGCTGTTAACTGAAATAAAAGCAAGTTTATAGAGTTCATGTGCCAAAATACCTGAATCATTCGGGGTGGGAGGTAGGTAAAGATGATGATGCTCAAGTAATGAATGAAGAACTTGTCATGCTTCTTTTTGCACCTAGTCTCTGCCAAAATAAGACTTTCAACCTTCTGTAGAAATATAATTTTTGGGAACATGTGCAGAGCAAAAAAAATCCTTACAGAAATACTAATTTTAATAATTAAAAGTATGTGGAAAGGCAGGCAGTAGTGTATATTCCATCATTTTCTCTGAGGATAGCAGTTAAATACTTTGACATACCAATACGATGAATGGGCTAGGTGGAGTAAAGCCTGTAACTTTGTTTTTTATTTTTTTTTCCCAAGGCATAACATGGGGGGGGGGGGGGGGGGGAATGAACAGTTAAATTTGAGCTCTGTTTTTACTCTAAATCTACTGTGAAATTACTGTTGTATTGATGCATGCCCTAATTAGCTATTTTAAAGCTGACAGTGCTAGTGTAAATGCTAACAAATAATTGGAGGCTATTTTATAATGGGAAAGATTTGTTTAAGAAATCTGGCTAGTTGCACATATATATATATATGAAGTGCCAAAGTAATAGTAATTCTTTGAAAGCTTTTAGAGCCTGGCTGAATTATCTACTACCAATGCAACTGATACCCTGTTTTATTTCTGTTATGTTGTCATCATGCTGCATATCAGTCTGTGCTGTTGATATATCAAAATACACCAAAGTTGCAAAATTTTGTATTTGTCATCTATTCATAAAATTTAAGGTACTTCATTGGTCTGTTAGGTCTAACTGTGAACTTTCTTTGCAAATGTGGAAGAAAACATTCAATTCTGTATTATTTTTCTTTGCTTTCCTTACCAAATACAGTGTCCTTTGAACTATAATATTATACACTAGAAAATAAATATGCCACTACTTACACTAGTCTGTATTCTTTTTTTATAGATACCAATGACTGCAACCCTCATCCATGGTAAGTATGCGAACTCCAGTTCTGTATCTATTGTGAAAATAAAAGTAAGCACAGTAATATGGATTTCCATTTCAAATTAGAACTAATTCTTCCCTAAAATAATTGAAGCCAGCCTCTTTAAAAATCTTAAAACAATTTTTTGCCATGCCTTATCTATTCCTTGACAGCAATGAAGACCACAAAACAATCCTGAGTTGATTCATACATGAACAGATAAAAGTGTTTTAGTGTAGTTATTGTGCCAGAACTGACTAGTAAATTACTGTGATATGGAATGTATCAGACTAATAACATTTCAAGCATCTACAATTGAGTTTTAGACTAAAAATGAGGAAATCAAAACGTGTTAGTTTACAATAAATAATTTTAGATAATATAAAAATGTCCTGTTAGATCAAATACTATGTAAAAATATGTTTTAAAAATAAAATTAATTCTTTGGAAGATACAATGGGAATATTTTAAATATGGAGGTTGATATTTATGGTTATATGTGAGTGATATGTGAGTGAAGCAAACCACCGGCTTTATCTTTCTCTGTTGTCCGTTCTGATGCAATAACCTGTACTTCATGTATTAAAAAAAAAAAACAAAACAAACCTTGCAAAAGCTCAGGCTTTCTCCATATTCACTTTACTATGCTGTTTTATCTTCTTGAGTTCTGTTGATATACTTCCCCATGCATGCATGCACTTTTGTAGGATGTTGCTGTTTTAACAGGTGACTTACTAAGCAATATTGTTTATCTAACATTATGCTTTGTTGATGGGATCATCCCCCTGAACAGCAGCAGAAGGTATAATTAACAAAGCTTTAATTAGAGACCAATGAAACAATGTTGATGGCTTATGAATTAGCAGGGACTCTTTAATTCTGCATTGTTGAATAGTGAGAAGGTACTATGAATAGGAACAATAGAAATTTGCATTTGAACATGCTGCATGAGACCTATGGTATTTGCTCATCTTTAGACTAGTGAATCTACCCTGAGAACGTTCGGTGTAAGGATAAGTTTATTATTTTTACAGTTACAATGGAGGCATCTGTGTTGATGGTGTGAATTGGTTTCGATGTGAATGTGCGCCTGGGTTTGCTGGTCCTGACTGCAGAATTAGTAAGTACCCGTATGCGTAAAGACCTGAAAAGTCGTGCCATTCTGACACACAAATCGGAAAGAATACCCTATGACCCTTTTTGTGTGAGGTTAGCTGAATTCCAAATAATGAAGCAGAAGCCACCTGTCAGTCCGCCAGGTACTGATACCTTGTAAATAACAGCAACTTACGTTCCTTTCTCTGTTTCTTTAAATGGAACTGAAATTACTTGGCTTAAATGATACTCAAAGAATTGGTTGCTGGATTTCATGAGACATTTCTGAAGGTTCTGGGGTGCTGGCTTCATAGAAGCTTATGAAGTTTTAAGTATATTTCTTGATAAGCAACTTGTCATTAAAGATGGCATGTATCACTAGGCGTTCAATTTAACATTAGAAACTGAAATCCACTGAGACATGATAAACGAAAACTAAAACGTTAGGAGTGTAGTGCTGGCATGTGAATAACAAAGAGAAATGTGATAAAAGTCTTTCAAAGCTATAAAACAAACCTGTTACACTGCAGTTATCCTGAAGGATAGAAACTGAAAAGAAGAGGGAACAGAAGACCCTAAAACTTCATTGAAGTGTTGTGGAAGTGTTGGGTTTTGGTTTGGTTTGGTTTTTGTTTTGTGGTTGTTTTTTTTTTTTTAAATGGAATATTAGCATTGTGACTTGCATATGATAGATACCTTATTCTTTATTTTATTTCTGCCTCTTTGAAAGATCAGGCTTTGAGTCTTCTGTAGCCTCAAGGCCATTGGGCTTGGTCCTTCCACTCCATCACTATGGTGGTGTGCTTTCAAGTTGAGATTTCATCCTCTTTCTGGCAGATAGTAAATGAGCCAACACCTCTAGTCAGAGGGCGAGTGTAGCACTTGTGGTAGCATCAGCTTAGTGATCTCTGGATATAGAACCAGGGATGGCAGGTAATCACGTATCTAGATCCAGACACACAGTGAGGGATATTGAATTCTCCTTTTCCCAGACAAGAAATGCAGAGAGGACTATTTGTATTCAGACAAATACTGTGCATTTGTAATGGGCCAGCAGACTTTTTTTTTCTTGTTTAGACTGCTAGAGACAAAAGGAGTAGCTCTGACAAAAATGCCTTTTATGGCTGACAACAGAAACAGAGTTAACAGTCACTTTTTTCAGCATGCAGAGGCTGGAGAATCTTAAACCAACATAGCTTGAAGAGAGGAGGAAAGAGTAGTTAAACCCTGTAGTACCTTAGATACTTCTGTATTTGCATAAAACTTCATCTTAGAGCACTTCTGAAGGAAGCTAGAATAGAACCAAAAGCCCTTCCACATCTATTTGGTGTTTTCCATTGCCTACATAGTTAATAGTCTCACTACTACCATTTATCACATTCACTTTCTAAGTCCAGTCCTTTAAACACAGAAGATGAGCTGATACTGTGCATCAGTCAGGAACTGGTGTTTAAACAGTTTTTCTGAGGGGTTGGAGTGGGCCTTCATTTTCAATGGAAGGAAGGATACTTTGGAAGAGAATGGTTATGGTTGAAAACAAAGCAGTTGGTGCCTGTGGCTCACAACTTGACAGGTTGGTTTCTGTTGCCTTTGTTGGTAGACTGTTGCATAAATTAATATTGGTCACTTCCCCAGGATAAGAAATAACATGTTGCTGTGCATCTGAATGGACTATGCTTCCCTGCCTTTTTCAATAGATTTGTATGGCTATGGATCTTTGAAGACTGTTTTTTTTTTTTTAAGAGGCTTTTATGCTAAGTGTGTATGTACTAAATTAATCTACTCACTATTTCAATGTTGTTAAGAAAAGTAACATCAAATGTCTGTTACAAACTAAACTGTTAACTCTTCTTCCTTATGGTGAATTGTATTGCAGTAAGTCACTTTTTTCAAGCACTGTTGAGCCAATTCATTGTTCAGCTCTCGCACTGTGATGACTTCCTGAAAGCATGTGCTTTTATAGGAAGCCTAAATGCCTGAGATTAGTGCCAGAACAGGATGTGGGACTTCAGTTCTGTAGCTGAATGTGGAGTAGACATTAGCACCTTCAGCTGTCCAACACCTCTGCTCTGTGAGATGAGTCAGCATATGACTGCTTCTTCAATCACCAGACCTTCAATTAGGGTGCAATTATGAGAAATCTGTTAGAGGCTACTGCTGAAATGGTAGAACTGTCCAATTAGGAGATGGATTTTGAAGCCAAACTGTCCTTTGCTTGTTAAGAAAGCAGGTATTGTCAGGTTACATCTCAGTAAATGTTCAGTTATGATGTTCCATGTCCTTGTCACTGAGTTCTACCTATTTTCTATCTAGATATTGATGAATGCCAGTCTTCCCCTTGTGGATATGGTGCCACTTGTATAGATGAAATAAACGGATACCGATGCACTTGTCCCCCTGGAAGAATTGGTCCTAGGTGCCAAGAAGGTATTCTTATATCTGCTATCAACCTTTACCCAAAAACCATTAGAGTACAATGTAGCCAGTATAGAGTTTATATACGGTAGTCTGGTGCGTAAGGAACAGTAGCTGGTATTTTTTGATTTTAAATTTGTATAGCTTCAGTAGCTCGAAGAGGTGAAGTGTCTGAGTATGCTTTTTTTTTTCCTTAGTGATTGGAATTGGAAAGCCTTGCTGGCTTAAGGGAATGACCTTTCCCCATGGCAGCAGGTGGGATCAAGAATGCAACAACTGCCACTGTTTGGATGGCCGTATTGACTGCACCAAGGTAGGCATTTTGACCAATTTTCTTAAATCCTGCTGGCTGAAACAAACCTACTGTAAGTTAATCTTTTTTTTTTTTCCATCTGGACTCCTGCATAGGTCTCCCCCAAACTGCTTTTGTTTAAAAAAAAGTGTCTAATGACTTCCTGTAAAAATACTTATGGGATTACCTTTATAATCATGTGCTACTGTCCTGCTTTCTATCTGCTTAGAGCAAGCTAGAAACAGACAGGCACTTTTTACAGAAAAGGAAATATAAACTGGAATGGAATAATGATCCTTGAAAGGATAAATACATCACTGCCAAAGCTTTGCAAACACAGTTTTAGAGCTCCTAATTTTGTGAAATAGTAGTTCCAAGGTAAAGGACATGTAGGAAGAAAAGTTTCTTCAGTGAGTAATAATCACCTTTCTGTATTGTCCTTCAGTAGGTTTATGAATTGACAAATTGCAACCTTTGTATATTTGTTGTGGACTACATCCTGCTGGTTGTGACTTAGAAAAAATAAGACTAGCCTAAATGCAGCTTGAGCATGTTAGCCTTTCAGCCCTCTTGAGATAGCATTTCAGGATTTGTGGTACCTGTGCAGCTTTACATCACAGCTCTGAGAGAGACAAGATCAGTGCTGCTTACAAGTTGTAGGACTAGGTGGCTGGCTCCAGATGAGGGCTAATAGCACTTGCAACATTGCCTCGCATGGCAGTCTCCCACATTTTACTGGAAGCACCATTTTAAAAACCTCTGGGCCGTATTAATCTATCCAGCCTTAATCTTGCTTTGTTTAGCTAGGTTTGCACTGTAGGCAAAGAAATAACTAAACCTTGCACTTAGTCATTTAGAAATGCTATTTTAGACCCTTTATGGTGTTGCAATTTCAAGTTTGAGATGTCTTCAGCAGATAACAGTAGGTGAAGGTAACTAGAGTCTCAGAAATGGTGGTGCGGTAAATGTGACTTATCCGTATGTGGTGTTTGGTTCTTTCATGCGTAATGGTACAAATACGCTTTCTTGCTGACAACTATGCTTTAAGAAATCCGTAAGTTCCTAAACTAATAGCTGTATGGTATTATATAGAATTCTAAAGGTTACATCATGAAAGGGAGCTGTGTTTGGAAGCTTGCTGCACCTCAGTAACTTGGGGTGTACCAGCATACTGTTTCCATTTGGGAGAGTGGTTGAAGTGACAGTGCTTATCACCAACGTGCATCAGCTTTTACCATCTTCAGCATTCTGTGGCAAGGATCTCAGTGTAAATATTGAAGAGAAATTAATCCTTGTGGAGGTGTTTCTAGATTATAGAAGCCTAGATGACTAGTTTAAAATAAGTGCTTGAACTTGTGTATAACTCAGTTATGTGGGACAAATCCATAAGCCTCTAAGGAGATATGCCCAGTCACTGTCTCGGGTAATCTTTGCACAGTTTTTACTCTTTTGTCAATACAAAATGTCCTTGTTTTGTGGAAGAACAACTCCATCTGCTAGTAGGACTAGAGCAGGATCAAAATATGGATTTTTTTTTTTTTGCAGTTAGTAGTAGATCATGACCATCTTAAATGAATTGCTTATTTTGATTTGATGCATAAGAGCAATTAACTGTAACAGTACTTTCTTCTTTTTAATTTCTAGGTGTGGTGTGGGAAAAAACCTTGTCTGTTACACAAACACTGGGATAATTCAAATAACCAGTGTCCCATGGGTCAAGAATGCCAGGAGAAGTATATGAAATGTTTTCAGCCACCATGCACGGACTGGGGAGAATGCAGTGCCTCTGAACCTCTGCCTACCAATATCAAGTGTCTGCCTAATTCTGGATACTTGGACAATGACTGTGCTAGAATTACTTTAATTTTTAACGGAGACAAAGTCCCCCAGGTGAGAACAGAATTATTAATGAAGTACAGCAATATATGTAGGGATATATTCCATGTCAAAGCATGGAAGATTAATGTTTCTAATATGACTCCTTGCCACCATAAACTTGCAAAATTTATTATTAGACTTCTCTGTTGCTATTAATTGTGCTTTGTCTAAAGGGCAAGGCAAAATTAGGGGTTGTACTGAATGTTTTATTTTCTTTTTTAAATCTCAAAGAACTACTTTCTTATATTTCAGGATGGGCTCAGGCTGTACTAGGATAGTCATGCAAGCTCAGTTTCTCACCCTTCATTCCAAAACCCCATTCTTCACTTTTCTGCCCTTTCTTGCTGCCCTCTTTGCTGCCTTCATCAGGTCTTGGTAACTGCAAAAACTGAAGATGTTTATTTTTGTGTACTTGAACTAAAGTCATACAATGTCCCTTGCTTCTAACAGGGCACTACAACTGAAAATATCTGTTCTGAAATCCGGTATTTACCAGCTACTAGGACCGTTTCTAGGGACAGAACTCTGATAATAATATGCGATCTGTCTTACTCCACAGAGAATGCAGTGGAAGTTGCTATTGTAAGTATGAGACTTGTATTAATATATATATATATAGGAAACTTTTCTTTTTAGTTTGAGCTGGGAAAGAGGTTGTTTAAGCTTGTTTCACTTCAGTGCAGGTACTGCAGTCTGTGGCTCTAGTCTGACTGCAAAGCAATTTTGTGATCTTGCAATTTGCTGTAAAGCTAGATAGCTGAAACTGCAAGTTTAATGACAGAAGGCTACCACAACCTCCTGATAAATTACTCCAAAGACTGATTCAGCCCAAATTAGTGAACAGGTGCCTACCTGTTCTGTCACAAACCTTGGGCTGTTGACTTTCTCAGTAAGGAGATACAGTTGCAGGTGGCTGGATTGGATCTTGTGAAGAAGTTTCTGCTGTGCATTTAGAGTATGGCTGCTTCAGGGTGTTCATTAAATAAGTGCTAAGTGGGAGGTGGAAGAAGGTACAATTTGAGTAGATGAAAGTAATTGTTTTCTACTGAGCTAAAGACTTGCTTTAGAGGTATTTACATCCCAGTTGCTTGATGCTTGCGTATTGCTTAGTTTCGACGAAAGAGTTAATTACCATTTGTAAAGTGTTTATCCAGGCAGAAGCTGGATTGTCTGTCTCTACCAGTACCATAAAGAACATGCTGAGCCATGATGCAGGAAGCAAAGATTATGGTATAAATAGAGCAGACTGTTATTAGTTCAAGCTTCTATCTAGATAATCCACATGTCTTGAAGTGCTCCAAACTATGATTAAGTTTAGCTCGGCAGTGTAAGTAACATGGAAGTCAGCTGCCTTTTATTTGAGGTATGTTACATTAGCAAGTAGGTGTGTTACCCACGAAGTCTGATAGTCTGATCTGCAGTTTGGATAGAGCCAGCCATGCTATTGTTACAGTAAACTTTTAGGGTACTGTTTTTGACTACTGTCAGGTGAATTCAACCTAGTGAACTCAATTAAGCTGGATTTAAAAAGTAGATGTCCATGGTTAGGTGACTGCAGTAACTTTTTGTTTTTCCCCTTTGCTCCCTTTAGTCTTTTGTCCCACATAGAGATGAACAAGATAATAGCCTCATACAGAATGCTGCTAATACAATAGTAAATGCAATCACTAAGCGGCAAAACAGCACTGTTATGTTGGCAGTAACTGAAGTCAAAGTAGAGACCATCGTTGTTGGGAATTCATCTTCAGGTAAGGTTCCCAGTGCATACATTCTTTGTGTGTGTAAGCATTTTCTGTTCCCCTACTGTCAGTCTCATCTTCCTTTACATGTTTGGGAAAATGATAGATTGGGTTGTTTCTTTAATTGCTATTACTAACTTGAAGAGAAAGTGGCTTTAAATAAAATCAAGATTCTGTGCTTGTGTGCTGGTTTAAACTTAACCTCATCCCTAGCTTAATATCCCCACCTACCCTTGCCACTGTTTTGGCTCTGACTTCCAGCCCTGTTCTCCAGTCTAAGCATACCTTTCACAAGATCACTTCTCATTTGCTGTTCAAATCCTTTCTGATTCTCTTACGTTAACCTTAGCTCAGCCTCGGCCCTCGATGCTGCTGCAGCACTATGGAAACTGAGGCTGTAAGGCAATGAAAATATGGGGAAGGGGAAGATACATAGTGTGATACTGAGTCTCTTCTGAAGTGCTTATGTATTATTTACCTCAACAAAAGTTAAACATGTCTAGTATCTTCTAATACTTGGCCATGATAATGTAAAACTTTGCTCTCTTTCAACATGTGTTTCTCACTAGTGCACAGCTGGCTTAAAATGTAATGTTCATTCCTCTTAATGAGGATATGGTGTGATTGGGGTGACCTTTACCTCTGAATATTGGCTTTCCAAGAGCTATGCCAACATAAGCAGTTGAAGATTTTGCATGCCTGTGTTCCTGCCTGGGGGAGGCAGGAGATGGTCTTGTGGAAGACCCCTGGTAGGCTGCAATTCAACTAAACCCGAGTGGTAGGAGACTCTCTCAACTTTTTCCTAGACCTCCCCAACACAACCTTCTGGAAGATGTTCAACCCATAGTCCAAACAGTTAGTAAATTGCCTGGTTCCATTTCCCGTCTAGGGAATGCCTTTCTTCTGTTAAATGTAGTATTTCCTCAGCTCCCCTGAAGGACTGTACCAGCTTTGTTCTTGTCTTGAACAGAAATTGCATAGATGATAAAGAATCAAGCTGACATTCTGACACACCTCAGCCTCTCTTTCTTCTGATTGTGTTAAACGCTAGGGCAAAAGGGGTGGGGATGACTTTGCCTCCCACCTCAATAAGATTCAAAGATTCTCCTAAGAAAGTGCATAGACTTTGACTTCTCACAGCTAGTGCTAGAAAATGGTTTCCAGAATCCTCATTTTAATATGGATGCTCAGTATTGACCACTCGGCCCCTGATTCTTTAAGTGGAGTTGTTATGAAGTAACCTGGATTATCATGTTCTTCGATTTGGTTTGTTTTATTGTTACCCCTTAATTGGGTGAGGTAGGTGGAAACCTATCACAAAATGTGGTGTAAACCCCTATGTCTGTGTTGAGAATCTCATTCCTGTGGGATGCTCAAGTGTCTAGATGGAGATGATCGTTTAGACACTTCATTAATTTCCTCTAGCTTTAAGAAAAAATATTCTGCATTTGGAATCTATATACAAACAGTTTTCTGTGTAAGAACCTTTTATTAAATAAACTTGGATCCACAGTCATATGACACAACAATAGATGTGATAGCAGTGGGAATGCCAGCTTTGTATTCTGGTCTTGGAGAAGCTGATATGAAGAGCTTCTTTTTCCTTGAAGTATTTTTCTCCCATTCATGGTTCAGTATTAGATTGCTTATGAAAAATGAGGAGAGAATAGCAGTTACTCCTAAGAGCACAATTCTTCCCCAAACTGTTGAAATACAATTTTTAGATCCCTTGAGGCCAACCATGTCCGCAGTTTATTTATCCCCCTTTACCAGAAAGAAATGTTTGAGAATGTGTCATATTCCACATAAGAATATGTTCAGAAGACACTTCAACATTAGGATGAATGACCGTGGCGTTGAAGTGGTTGGTTGTTTTCTACGGCCATTTGCAGATTATTCTGTAAGCAGTTGTCTTAAAACTGCAGAGGGAATTTGTTTGAGTCAGAGGTTAGAGTGGTAGGTTGACAGCATTTGTCTGCAGAGCTTTTGAGCAATCCTGCCGTCTCTACAAAAAGCAAAGCACCTCATGTCTTATTGCCTCTTACCATGGGTGAATTCCTCCTTGTCAAGAAGAGTAGAACAATGTTACTCTGTCCTAGCAGTAAAGCCCTTGGTAGGGGGGGAAGTCCAACCGTACATAAATTTTCAGGAATGGTTTCCTAGAGGAATAATTTGGGTCTGTGTGGCTGGGAGAGCACTAGTGGGGTGTTTGATTGGGAATGTGGAGAAAAGCAATTGCCTCAACTCCTTTGTTTATTTGTTGAACAGTGAAGACTCTCTTATCTCTAGTGACAATATTCTGGTGTTTTACTCTGAAGTGAAACTGGAACATCCTAAAGAGTGCATGATTGATTCAGTTACATAGCTCTAACCTGAATGTTTTTTGAGATAGTTGATAACATAAATGTCTGTGGACTTCAATGGTAAAGGACTCTTCTTTCTGATAGTAAATGCAGGACATATTTCTGACACGAGTGCCAGTATTTCTAGAGCAACTCAGAGGCGTAGTACGCTTTATAGCCTGCTCCTGCAAGAATGGACTTTTTTCTTAAGAGTCATTACTGAGATTTTTCTGGGCCAACTTAGCTTAGGTGCTTGAGAAAGAGATGCTGCTTATGTAACCAGTTTGTCTGTTGGAAGGGGGAAAACATTTCAAATGTAGCATTTTCCCCTTCATCATTAAGCAGGGAAAACTGTAACTTAGTTTAAACTAGTAAAGAGTATTTCTGGATGCACTAGTGCATTCAGACAGTTATCATTGTGCTGTAATGGCATCTTATTTTGTTTCTCCTGAAAATCTTTCTAGGGCTAACCTGTAGTTATGTATGGGTACTTCTGTTGCAGATGTCCAGTGCTATATATCTAGTTCTGTTAACTCAAGACTTTGGTGTTTTTTTTATTTGCCCTCTAGATTATTTGGTTCCAATTCTTTGTGCGGTATTTAGCATTGTATGGCTGACTTGTATAATCATCTGCGTGTGGTGGACTCGGAAGAGAAGAAAAGAGAGAGAGAGAAGTCGTCCTCCCAGAGAAGAGGGTGCCAATAACCAGTGGGCGCCTTTAAATCCCATAAGAAATCCTATAGACAGATCTTACAGTAACAAAGACATTCGTTATGAATGCAAAAACTTCATATCTCCTCAAAAAAGAACTTGTGATGCAGTAGAGGAGTATGTAGAGTATGAGGAAGAAGAGGATGAAGAGGAGGAAAGAGATGAGGAAATGGACAAATTCCTCTCTCACAAACTTGCAAAGCCTTTGCCAACAAAGGCATCTGACACATCAGAGAGCAGTCCAGTAAAGAAATCCCATCAAATAGGCAAAATGGACAACAGATCTGTAAAAAATGTGAATGCATCAAACTTTGAAGGCAGTAGAGACTAACCTGTATTTGGAATGTAGGCAGACTGCGCCTACGCTTGCTGGGGAGGGGAAAAATTGACATCTCCACTTTTCAAGGACTAAAAATCTGGAATCAAATGTTCATAGTTTCTTTATTTTGCGTAAAAAAAATAAATAAATAAATAAAAATAATAAATAAAATTTATTTTGTTTCTTTAGCTTTGTATATATTATTCAATGACTGTCAGATGAAAAAAATGAGTAATCTTTGATAGTTGCTATTTTTGTAAAGTTTACTTATAATACACTCGCTGTGTGGCAGAGGAGAGGTTGTATTTTCAATATGTGTAAAGTTTATTACAAAAGACTGTACACTGTTTACAGAATGTATTTCTTTTTATTACTTGCTCTAATTTAATGGTGGCTTTAAAACCTCCTGGTTGAGGAAATTGTGTGAACTTTAAACTGCTTTCTTGACTTTGAATCTCTATTAATGGCAGCTCACTGCACTTGTTACGTTAGTAGCTTCTGTAAGATTTTTTTTTTTTTCCAAATTTGCCTTACACACTTTGTAATAGGAACAAAAAAAAATCAGAGATCTTTCAACTGTGGTTTAAAAGTGGCCTTTTTATTTCTGTTTAATTACTTTAGAATTGCAGTATTGAAGCATGTGACAAGTGCCTTGAGATTAAACTTTTTCTATAGCAACTGTCAAAGACTGCCATATTAATATAGTAAAATTGTGAGAACTCTAGGTTCCCCAACTGACACAGTTTATTTTCTAATAGTGAAAGTGCTTTTTTGTAAATATGTACATATTAAATGAATCACTCTGTATATTTGATTTAATAACTTAAATATTTTGGTCTTTTTTTACGTGTCATTCCTTTTAATTTATGTTGCAGAAAAGGAGGTTTTATGGCAGTTTATAAGACTTTTTTTGGTATTATGTCCAGATTAGAAAATGATGTTAATACAATCAATGTTAGGAATCTGTTGGTCATTTGTATTTACATAGGAACATAACCACTTACATGTAAATAGATCCAGAAATGTTTGTTTATCCCCATGTTCAGCCCATCTCAAGAACACTAACGGGTGCATCTACTGTACAGTACCAACATAGTGAGGCATTGTTTTTTTTCTTTTGTGAATATGTTAATTACATGTGGTATTACTTTTTTGCGTTTAAATACAGGCCTAATGAAGGGAACAATATTTTCCTCAATCTTGTTTCTGTTGTGCTTTATTCATCTTTTGCTCTAAAGAATAAAAGGCTGGCAAGCTCAGAAGATGGGAGTACCTCATTAGAAATGGTTATTTGTAATGGAAGGCTTATGCTTTTTTTTTTTAAAGGCTTTATTATTGCTATTAACTGGGCAAACTAAGTTTATTTTAATTACTGAAGAAGCATAACACTACATACACCTAGTTACCCTGCCAGTGAGAGGAGCGGATGTTTGAGAGTATAAACTCTGGCCCATGAACAATGTAAACATGAATGTTTTGAAACCAGTTATTTTATACAGGAACGCAGGATTTGCTTTGCAGGATCTTCTGTTTTAGTACATTTTTGTTTGACATGTTCTTAAAAAAAATTCAGAAAAGAAACTATTTATTAAAGCATTTTATAATGATGTTTGTTGTAACTTTTTTACTTGTGCTAAATATTCAAAACTTATTTTGATAACCTGGTTAGGAGTTAGTTTAGAAAAGGGTACTATCCTTCTCATGTTCCCCAGTATAATCCTGAGTATTTAAACCAAAAACACTTTTTTTTTCCTGCTACTCTTGTAACTTTTTGTACTGTAATGCTGCTGTCTTCCATAATCTAATAAAATGATTCCCTCATTGTGTGTAAGATACTTCAGATTGTGTTTGCTTTCTAAGTGCTTGGAGTTCTGATGTGATGAGGCTAAACGAAGGAGGAGTGAAAGTCCTGATTTAATACACGGTGCTTCCTGCACCCTGAGCTTACCGCCTGCATCCAAGCGCCGATACTTCCTGAGCCAACGTGGCAGCCTTGTCCTCTGCCCACTGCTGCGCCACTAACCCTTCACGTAGGAGGTGGTATCCCACGTGTGGTCTGGAGACACAGACGCCTTCAGTACCTAAACCGGGACTCTCCCCACGCTGCCCCTTTGCAAAGGACAAAGGCTGGCTTTAGCTGATGGTTACTGACCGTATGTACGATGCGCCTTTTTTGAAATGGCTCTCCTCCCAGCTGCTGAGCGGAGGCTTGTCTAAGCAGCATCTTTTTGCTTCCTTGGGTGGTAAGAGGGCTCTTGAGCATGTAGGGGCTTGAGGCATTCTTGCCAAATTGAGCTGGGTTTTTAAGGTAATATCTTTCTCCTCTATTCTGCGGCCATTCAGACCTGTTACTTGTCATGCTCCAATTTCAGTTTTGTAGGTCTGTGCCTGTTTCTTATGGTGACTTGAATGGCTTTTGTATAAAATATTTTCTGTAGTGAAAGGTAAGATAATATGGAATATAAAAGTTGAAGTTTCCTAGTAGTTGTCAACCTCCAAAGCAGAATTCTAGATCCTAGCAGGCTTTTTATTCCAGTCATCGTACAGTTACTTTTTTTATTATTTCCTTGAATTACTGGCTTGGTTTTATGTTGATAAGTGGGAGCTGTTTCTAAGTCAGTTCTAAAAATGAAATTCTATTGTTATATTTGACTTCCACTTTTCAAATATCTGTCTCCTGCCCTTGAAGAAAGGCTGATGGGGGAGGGGAAACACAAAGCTGAGATAAGGAACCAACACTTTTTCAATGATGACTTTCTAAAATCAACTCCTTGGTGCTGTGGGAAAACTTAGTGGCTGCCACTAGCTCCTCAGAAATAGTGGGAGCAATGCTATAACCATTCAGGACAGTACCAGGTTAGAAAAATGTCTTTTTGTAAGATGTGCTATTCTCAGAGGCTGCAGTATTTGTGAGTAGCTGCTGTAGAGAGCAATTTCTGATACTCACAATGCACTTAAAATAGCCGAGAGAATGCTGCTTGTTGGAGTTTTTACATGAATACAAATAAATGTAGTGGGTGTTGCTGCTGTAGGCAAAAGGAGAAATAATAGATTATTAGATACATATAGAATAAGGCTGTTGCTGCTCTGTCATGCAGCAGTGAGCTGGCTCCTGAAGGTGCTAGTTCTGCTTTTTCATGTTACGGAAAGAATATATGAAGTGATGGGGTCACAACAGTGGTCATCACCCACTGTTCTAAACGAAGGGTCAGAGCGTTCCCCAATGGCTGATACCGTGCCCAGGACTTGTTCCCCTGTGGATTCATGAAACCAGCATGGACAAGCGTTCAACTTGGTAGTGCTGTTTGCCTGCCAAAACCAAGAATTTTTATGCTATTTTCATGTGATGACCAAGGGCAAGTTATGTAGACTGAGGTAAGTGAAAGAAGATGAATAAAAGAGGAGGATGAACAAGAAGTAAACTTTTTTTGACTTGCATGGTTTAACCTTGACCCATTTTATACAGATTTTATTTCTATGCTGCTCTTAAATCAATTGCATGTCTTCTCGGCTTGCTCCAGATCACCTTATTCAGTAGTTTTGTTTCCGTTTGACTTATTTTTACATGAAATTCAACTCATACACCTCAACTTCTTGCTGGTGCACATGCGCTAAGCATTATGTTACTTCCAGGATCATATCTTGTTACAAGAACTACATAATGAGGAAAAGTAGTAAATGGGCTCTTCCTTGGGATGTTTCTAAGCAATGAGTAGTTCCAGGTTAATTTTTCTTCTCCGATGCTCTTCTCAAGATCTGACGCTAACCTGAAACACTTGGTGAGCTCAATTCTTTTAGCCATTTGTTGTTGTCTGGTTTGTTGTCCAGCAGACCATGTCATTAGTCCTCTTGAGGTCAAACTGTGCTTGGATGGAAAGTTAGTTCGTACAGCAAAATAACTCACTGCTGCCCCATACTTTTTCAAGAACAACCTAAAAGTTGAAAGGCATTTTCCTTGCTCCATTGAAAGCTGCAGAGGACACTAGTTGCAATGTGAGTTGTGAGGTAGCTTGGACAATAAGGGATGGGGGGAGCATGGAATTAACTTGTACAGGAATTTGGGTTGGTTCAATTCAGTCACACGTGTGTATCTGTCTCACTGTTCTTGAGTGCTGATGGGCTATCATAGTCCTTTGGATGCAACAGAGAAAGGATGAGCCTGAAGTAGAGTTCAAGTAGCTTGTACGCCTTCCTAGGCAGCTAGCATCCCTTCTGTTAGGCAGTGCAACTGTGGCCTTTGGGGGGCTTACTGTGAATGAGGAGGGTAGAGGTTGGCTTTGCTTTTTATCTTTTCTCAACAGTGAAGTAGGTGTTTGAGTCACTTGGTAGGAATCTTGCTCTTGCTTTGGAAAAATTATGTCAATCTCAGACTTGCTCTGTTCAGTGCTGCAAAGCAGTCCCTAACTAACCTCTTGTCCTTATTTCATCACAGATGGTGGAATAAAGAATGGGATTATAAAACAGTACAGGAACAAAAGGTCCCCTTGGGAATGAGACAGGACTAAATCCTTCCCATGTTCATCCCTTTTACAGCACCCATTCTCATGCACACGGTGTTTCTGTGAGGATATGTGGAACTTTTGCTTTTGCTCTGTATACAAGTGATTTCTTTCAGTATGACAGGGACTTAGTGCAAAAATATCTCTTCTTCAAACACTTGATTATAAACATCTCCTTGCAATCAAATGCTTATAAGAATGTCATAGGTAATATTCTTAAATAGGATGTATTTTTTTTTTTCTGCAGGCATCACTAAGTTCCATGGTTCATTGGGTCACCTTTTCCCTTGCAAAAGCCAGTAAAATCTAGGTGGTTTACATGAATCTCCTTTTTACACTGTATATACTACATCTGGAGCAAGAAGAAACAGACATTGTACAGGGCAGTGTCTGTATTCATAGCATTGAGTCAGTCTTACAAATGAGCTGGACAGAGACCCAGCTCTCCTGCCTCAAAGTTATTCGAATTATTTTATCCAGGTTATTTGCAGAGAGTCAGCATGATTTGCACAAGGTGTGTGATTTCCCAATGATTCAACAGTGCTATCTTGATGATTCTTGAAGCCAATAACAAGTCCCATAGTTCATACCTATAGCCTGTTCCTACAACTATGCCGAAGGAGCACATCCTTCTCAAAGGGCACTTTGCAATACCTTCCTGAAAGGAGTATGTAAATCAACTAGGTTGAGTGAAAAATGACCAGGTCTTTAGGAACTCAGAGGAGGAGCTTCAATTAATTTCTTTCCCTGGCAACAAACCTGCTTCAAATTTTTCTAAATGGGCAAAAAAAAATCATGGAAACCTTAAACAGGCAGTGTTTAGGACGCGTTATGCTTTTGTTCATCTTAATGATACTCCATCCATATTACTCTTTA